CACATGTTGGGGTTGACGGGACACTGAATACACGTGGGATAAAGGCCATTACTCCACATGTTGGGGTTGACGCGACAATACACGTGGAATAAAGGCCATTACTCCACATGTTGGGGTTGACGCGACAATACACGTGGGATAAAGGCCATTACTCCACATGTTGGGGTTGACGCGACAATACACGTGGAATAAAGGCCATTACTCCACATGTTGGGGTTGACGCGACAATACATGTGGGATAAAGGCCATTACTTCACATGTTGGGCTTGCCGCGACAATACACGTGGGATAAAGGCTATTACTCCTCATATTGGGGTTGACGGGACACTGAATACATGTGGGATAAAGGCCATTACTCCACATGTTGGGGTTGACGGGACACTGAATACATGTGGGATAAAGGCCATTACTCCACATGTTGGGGTTGACGCGACAATACACGTGGGATAAAGGCCATTACTCCACATGTTGGGGTTGACGCGACAATACACGTAGGATAAAGGCCATTACTCCACATGTTGGGGTTGACGCGACAATACATGTGGGATAAAGGCCATTACTCCACATGTTGGGGTTGACGCAACAATACATGTGGGATAAAGGCCATTACTCCACATGTTGGGGTCGACACGACACTGAATGCATGTGGGATAAAGGCCATTACTCCACATGCAGGTGTTGACGTGTCGATACATGTTTGCTGACGAGGTCGATGTCCTTATTCTTATGGATTCAGGCAATATAGTTTTCCACATGTTGAATAATATTTACATGACAATGTCCACAGGGTGTTATGACCTTGTTTGTCCTTTGTTGCGATGTTGTATCCACTATAAACATAAACATTGTACAGAGATTAGATCCGAGATTAACAAAGGAGCTCCTCCTTTAAACTTTCAACAACTGAAATGTTTACATACAAAGATATACAACACTAACGTTTGGCGCAGTGGATTACGAAACGTATCCAAACTCTTAATTTGACAAAATCTTTGATCTGGTTTGGCTTTTTAGGTAAGAACCCATTACTGAATCACATAATCGTATCTGCTAAGAGGTATATTTACACTTGCTCTTTGAAAAAAACAATTCCAAAAGTTGATAATTACTTAAGGATATTGAAAGACATATTTACCACTGAAGCATTCATCGCCAGAAGAAATAATAATGATGAAAGCTTTTTAGCCAAAATGGTTTCCTCTCATCCCTGAATTTAAACCTCAATGACTATTTAACCAAAACATATTACTGATCTTGATATTAATGTAATTAATGTACTCTATCTCTATTGAGCCCACTAGCTGCTATGTACACATATTCCTCTATATGCTTGTACTCATCATATTTTTGTACTCATCACATTGGGAACAATAAAAAAAAATGTAAAAAAAATGGAAGAAGATTACTTGAAACAAACAAACAAACAAAAGAACCCCCCCAAAAAAGTTTGGCGCAGTTTTTCTAATTTTTGGTAACATTTTAGAATATACTGACGATGTCTCGCCTGTATAAAAGTCACGCATCCCGAAAGCATAAAGCGTCACCTGACTTTACGTGAGTGACAACTCTCACATCTTGGCTGCTATGTACAAGGCTGTTGACAAATGTTGTTTCCTGCACCAATTCGTGTTTGTTTTGAATAATATTTGCACAAATTATGAATCTACAAATGAGACGGGCGTATCGTACCCGTGAAATCTGACGTCGTGGGCGATTAGTAACTAACACACTACACACCGGGTTATGCTATAGTGTTGTTTCAACAGTAATTTCGGCGGACAGCATTCGGAGACCCGCATGTATAAAAGTAACGACTGCCTCTACATGTGCCCCGTGTAAATAGACATTCCCATTCAATCATACCGGACGCATTCCTATTCCATCATATTGGACACATTCCTATTCCATCATACCGGACATATCCTCATTTCATCATATCGGACACATTCCCATTTCATTTTACCGGACACATTCAAATTCCATCATACTGGGCACATTCCCATTCCTTTATACCAGACACATTCCCATTCCTTAATACTGGACACATTCCTGTTCCATCATACTGGACACATTCCCATTCCTAAATACTGGACACATTCCATTCCATCATACTGGGCACATTCCTATTCTTTTATACCAGCCACTTTCCCATTCCATTACACTGGACACATTCCCATTCCATCATACTGGACACATTCCCATTCCATCATACTTGGCACATTCCCATTCCATCATACTGGGCACATTCCCATTCAATCATACTGGACACATTCCCATTCCATCATACTGGGCACATTCCTATTCCATCATACCGGACACATTCCTATTCCTTTATACTAGACACTTTCCCATTCCATCATACTGGGCACATTCCCATTCCATCATACTGGACACATTCCTATTCCATCATACTGGACACATTCTCATCCCATCATGCTGGGCACATTCCCATTCCAAAATACTGGACACATTCCCATTCCATCATACTGGGCACATTCTTATTCCTTTATACCAGACACATTCCTATTCCATCATACTGAACACATTCCCATTCCATCATACTGGGCACATTCCCATTCCATCATACCAGACGCATTCCTATTCCATCATACTGGGCACATTCCCATTCCATCATACTGGCACATTCTTATTCCTTTATAACAGACACATTCCTATTCCATCATACTGAAAAACATTCCCATCCCATCATACTGGGCACATTCCCATTCCATAATACTCGACAGATTCCCATTCCATCATACTGGGCACCTTTTCATTCCATCATACTGTGCACATTCCCATTCCATCATACCGGACGCATTCCTATTCCATCATACTGAACACATTCCTATTCCTTTATACCAGACACATTCCTATTCCATCATACTGAACACATTCCCATTCCATCATACTGGGCACATTCCCATTCCATCATACTGGGCACATTCCCATTCCTTCATACCGGACGCATTCCTATTCCATCATACTGAACACAGTCCCATTCCTTCATACTGGGCACATTCCCATTCCATCATACTGTGCACATTCCCATTCTTTCATACCGGACGCATTCCTATTTAATCACACTGGACACATTCCCATTCCATCATACTGGGCACATTCCCATTCCATCATACCGGACGCATTCCTATTCCATCATACTGAACACATTCCTATTCCTTTATACCAGACACATTCCTATTCTATCATACTGAACACATTCCCATTCCATCATACTGGGCACATTCCCATTCCATCATACTGGGCACATTCCCATTCCTTCATACCGGACGCATTCCTGTTCCATCATACTGGACACATTCCCATTCCATCATACTGGGCACATTCCCATTCCTTCATACCGGACGCATTCCTATTCCATCATACTGGAGGTGGAGGAAGGTGAGGTGAGGTGAGGCGAGGTAAGGCGAGGTGAGGCGAGGTGGGGTAAAATGGGGTATAATGATGGACTCAAAGTTATTGCGCTGAGATCAGCGTCCATGCACATGAGTGTGGATGTTGCTGGTTGTAGTATCGTTGAAGACTAATGCAGGTTTAATACGCCAGTCTACTACAATACCAGTAGTTTTAACATGGATACTCATTCTACTCGTGGTGTCATGGTAGCTAATCTGTTTGTGTGTTTGTTGTTTAACAGCTATATGGCGGCAGTCTGCAAATAATCGAGTCTGCACCAGACAATCCAGTGATCAACATAATGAGAATCGATCTACGCAAGTGGGTCAGTGAGCCTGACTATCCGATCCCGTTTGTCGCCTCTTACGACAAGCATGGGTTGCTGAAGACCAATTCTAACCCGAATATTCATGTATGACACCCCCTCCACGTAAATATCCCATCGAACATTTAAACCTGTAGTCACTGTCCAGGGCCCCGTTCCTCATCTTAAGTTGCTCTACGACAGTCGTAAGCCCATGTTAAAGTATGAGAGTTACGATCATCTTAGCGCTATGATCGCTTTGAGGAACGGGGCTCTGTTGAGCTGGAAGTTGTACCTAAGTGGCTGGAACCTGTTAAACAAATAGGCATCTTTCCATGTGGTTCCTTACCACAACTGTAGGCATTGTTTACATGATATGGTTTATTGAATGCGAAAAGAAAAGCTGGGTGATTTGATCAAACTTAACCCTGGACAAGTTCTCCTCTTAGAAATAGGCGACCATGATGAGAATACGACTTAATAGAATTTTATCATCGACAGTGATTCTCTCTGTCTCTCTCTTTCTCCATATCTTTCTCCATCTCACTCTCTCTGTATCTTTCTTTCTCCATCTCTGTCTCTCTCTCTCTCCCTCACACATACACACACACTCCCTCTGTCTCTTTCTTTCTCCATCTCTGTCTTTCTGTCTGTCTCTCTCCCTCACACATACACACACACTCTCTCTCTGTCTGCCTGTCTCTCACTCTCTGCCACACACATACACACACACACTCTCTCTCTGTGATGTATTCGCCATAGGTTTCCCATTCCATCATACTGGACACATTCCCATTCTATCATACTGGACACTACCAGTGACTGACCCTGTCAACATACTCTCTATCCGCCACAGGTTGTTTACATAACGCACAAGCGTCGCGGTGACAGTGGCGTCACTTCCCCCTATTGAGGCTGTCCTTGGGGATTCCCCATGTCTCCCTGACACGCTCCTCGCTATCAACATAGTTACACTTACATACGAGGACGTTGTCACGGGTGAAAATATTTCATGATGAAGCGTTATAGTTTCAATTACAAGTTTAAGTAATGTACAAATTCTAGAACGTTTGGGGTAAGGTTCCATGCGGTAAGATACTTCACTATATAGTGTTCTCGCTGTTTTAAGCGCGACGTAATTATTCTATTCACAATGCTCTCATAATTCCTTGAAAGCTGTTAGTTGGAACTTGACTGTCAAACAGAAAGTACAGTTAAAACGGGTTTTCCGTGACGCTGTCGAAGCACGTGACGAGTGGATATGATCAAATATGCGGTGAAATGAGGAAGTAAATCACAACGAGAGAGGGTGTTGAGATCGACAGTCGACATGTTGAGCTTCGTCCTCGTAGTCAGTGGTGTGGCCAGTATATTAGGGGGTGAAGTGCTTGACTCTGGAAACAAACCTGAGTTTCCCATCGGTGACGTTCGAGCGTGTTACAGAGATAACCAAAAACTTGAGCGTTTTGAGGTTCTGCCTGGTCAAGGCTGGGACAACCTGCGGAACGTGGACTCCGGCCTCGTTGTCGTCTACAACTACTCCAGGTGTCGGACAACTGAAGACGGCCGTTACCTCATCCCTGATACAGTCAACACCATCCCTTTGAAGGCAAGTAAGCTGAACGTTTATGCTGAACTAATCTCTCACTGGTCCAACTATACCAGTACCACGGCTCACGGTGTAAATATCGACGCGGGTCTTCATTTTGACTCGGTGAAAGTCAGTGGTACATTTTCTTCGGGCTATGAGAATGTGAAGTCCAAACAGATAGGTGATAGGTCCTACACAACCCGAGTCCAACTGAGATACGTTCGCTACTCAGCCAAGCTGCAGCCCGACGCCGCTCTTCATCCCACGTTCAAGTCTCGTCTGCTCAGTATCGCGGGAAGTCTGCAACTGAACAAGACGGACCAAGCACGCTATGACAGTGAACTTCTTGTGCGGGACTTCGGTACACACGTCATCACCAATGTAGATGCCGGTGCCGCCTTGGTGCAGGAGGACCAGGTGTCTGCGGAATTTGTGAACAGCAGGAAATTCTCAAAGAGTCAAATAACGACTGGAGCGAGTGCTTCTTTTTTTGGGATTTTCAGTTTCGGTGTTTCTTATCATTCTTCTACGTCCAATGAAGTGAAGACAGCATATGAACAGCACAGATCCTCCTCTCAGATCGATACTCTAGGAGGTCCTATGTTCAAGGCCTCCAACTTCACAGCCAACGACTGGACTAACGAGGTTGACTATGAACTGGTGGCCGTGGATAGGTCTGGAGACCCCCTCTTCTTCCTTATCAACTCTGCCTCTCTCCCCGAGCTTCCCAACTCCATCCTTTATCAACTTCAGAACCTTGTTCAGGAGACAATTCTGCATTACTATGAGTTTAACACATACAGGGGATGTACTGAACTGGACTCGCCTAACTTCAGCCCTGCCGCCAACCTGGATGACGGAACGTGTAAAAGTCCCTACACTAATCTGACATTTGGTGGAGTTTTTCAAACCTGTAGTATGTCCTCAGGATCAAACAACGGCGACCTCTGTTCTGGCCTCGACCAAGTGAACCCTAAGACAGGAGGACATACCTGTCCAGATGGGTATGAACCAGTAGAACTGCACACAGGACGCCTGTCCGACTCGAAGTCGGTCCACTCTTGTCACTCCTGCTGGCTGTTCTTCAAGTGTTGCCACGACAACTATTACCACAGCGAGGCAACCTACATCATGCATTGGTGCGCAGCTACGGGTCCGGTGTCTCAGGAGACTGGTTACCTCTTCGGAGGCCTGTACACGTCACAGCTTAACAATCCTCTCACTCAAGGAAAGACTTGCCCTGTCAACTTCTACACTCGCACCCTGGGGAAGGACCTCCACATCTGTATCAGTGATGACTACGAGCTGGCTATGAAGTATTCCATGCCATTCGGAGGTTTCATCAGCTGTACAACTGGTAACCCCCTTGCTATGACCCCTAAACCTGAGGGTAACAAGAACTCGGCCTTGCCATCACTGCACTCGTTCTTCCAAAAATCCAAAAGCTGGCCCAAGCACTGTCCTAAAGGCTACAGTCAACATCTGGCCTACGTCGATCAAGGCTGTGAGATCAACTATTGCCTGAAGGCGGGTTCCTTGTCAGAAGTTGGACTTCCCAAAATCCGTCGGCCGCCATTCCAGTCTGCTCCTCTGTTGCTCCCAAGCACTGACAATCAGGTGGTGTTTGACCCCTTGACCCTGACTTGGCGTAAAAATCAAGAGGCAATGCAGTTCATCAATGCACAGGGCGGTGAGGCCACTTCGTCGTCTACCGGAAGTGCTATGTCTGCTGGGGCAGCAGCTGGAATCGCTGTGGCTGCTACTCTCGGGTGTGTCGTCATCTCCACCCTCATCATCGTTCTTATCAAGCGACGTCGAAAGTCATCGTCGGTATATCGCAAGCTTGCAATTGACGACCCCCTTCTGTCTCCACAAATTAACTATGGTTCAACCGGAAGTGATGCTGTCAATGTAAACGTAGAGTAATCTCACTGGAACTCAAGGTGATTTTCAATTCTTTTCCAATGAAGGACTAGTTTACAAGGACTTATGGGGAACTACCTGTGCCCAACATTCTCTGTTTATGAACAATTTGCATCCTATAAAATATCCTTTGTCTACTTTGTCATAGTATCAGGTGCAATAATACGCCACTTCCCTCTTGCAAAGCCGAGACGCCATCATGGTTATAATAGGTTCTTAATGAATGATATCCATTGTTTACAATGTAAAATAATTCCGATTTATAACCATAAAATGATATTGTCTTGAAGGTGTGTCTTAAATGTGTTTTTCTTCAACTACCCCTGCTCTTACATCTGTGAAACCAACGTGAGTTGGTATGATTTTACATCGTGTTCAGCAATATTGATGGAATAATGTAGTTTCGCTATGCATGGAATGATTTCAGCAACTTGGACCTGCATAACTTTCCTCCCATATTGACATGACATGCCATGATAATTACTGTTGAATACTGTGAAATCATCGGGGCTAAAGCAACACTCACCGACTTTAACCAGTAGACGATCACACCACTCTCTTCCTGTCATGTGACCAGACATCGTGGTGGATTAGGTATGCAGCACTTTGGCCCCTCACTTCTGTGAACATTTTGGCGGTTAGACAGTCAGGTGGAGAGGGGTGAGCCTGGATTATACACGTGCCGAGAAGGCCATTTCTACATTTGTCGGGGTAAACTTGTCAATACTCGTGGTCTGAAGGCCATTATTCAATGTGTCGGTGTTGATATGTGAATAACGTGGCCTGAAGGCCTCTATTTCAAGTGTTTGTGTTGACACGACAATATACGTGGGAAAAAGGCTATTACTCCACATGGTGGGGTTGCCGCGACAATACTTGTGGGATAAAGGCCATTACTCCACATGTTGGGGTTGACGCGAAATACATGTGGGATAAAGGCCATTACTCCACATGTTGGGCTTGACGTGACAATACATGTGGGATAAAGGCCATTACTCCACATGTTGGGGTTGGCGCAACAATACTTGTGGGATAAAGGCCATTACTCCACATGTTGGGGTTGACGCGAGAATACACGTGGGATAAAGGCCATTACTCCACATGTTGGGGTTGGGGAAAAAGGCCATTACTCCATATGTTGGGGTTGACGTGACAATACATGTGGGATAAAGGCCATTACTCCACATGTTGGGGTGACGACAATACATATGGGATAAAGGCCATTACAATTGACATATGGGATAAAGGCCATTACTCCACATGTTGTTGACGTTGATAAAGGCCATTACTCCACATGTTGGGGTTGACGACAATACATATGGGATAAAGGCCATTACTCCACATGTTGGGGTTGACGCGACAATACATATGGGATAAAGGCCATTACTCCACATGTTGGGGTTGACGCGACAATACATATGGGATAAAGGCCATTACTCCACATGTTGGGGTTGACGCGACATATGGGATAAAGGCCATTACTCCACATGTTGGGGTTGACGCATGTGCGTAAACAATACATATGGGATAAAGGCCATTACTCCACATGTTGGGGTTGACGCGACAATACATATGGGATAAAGGCCATTACTCCACATGTTGGGGTTGACGGACAATACATATGGGATAAAGGCCATTACTCCACATGTTGGGGTTGACGCGACAATACATATGGGATAAAGGCCATTACTCCACATGTTGGGGTTGACGCAACAATACATGGGACGGGATAAAGGCCATTACTCCACATGTTGCAGTTGACGCGACAATACATATGGGATAAAGGCCATTACTCCACATGTTGGGGGTTTGACAATACAATACATGTGGATAAAGGCCATTACTCCACATGTTGGGGTTGACGCACAATACATACATACATATTGGATATTTGACGCCATACTAAAGGCCATTACTCCACATGTTGGGGTTGGCGACAACAATATAAAGGCCATTACTCCACATGTTGGGGTTGACGCGACAATACATATGGATAAAGGCCATTACTCCACATGTTGGGGTTGACAGGCCATACATACATGTGTGGGATAACGTGACAATACATGTGGATAAAGGCCATTACTCCACATGTTGGGTTGACGGAACAATACATGTGGGATAAAGGCCATTACTCCACATGTTGGGGCTTACATGTGGATAAAGGCCATTACTCCACACATGTTGGGGTTGACGACAATACATACACGTGGATAAAGGCCATTACTCCACATGTTGGGGTTGACGCGACAATACACGTGGGATAAAGGCCATTACTCCACATGTTGGGGGGGACGAAGGCGATAATACATGTGGGATAAAGGCCATTACTCCACATGTTGGGGTTGACGCGACAATACATATGGGATAAAGGCCATTACTCCACATGTTGGGGTTGACGCGACAATACATATGGGATAAAGGCCATTACTCCACATGTTGGGGTTGACGCGACAATACATGGATAAAGGCCATTACTCCACATGTTGGGGTTGACGCGACAATACATATGGGATAAAGGCCATTACTCCACATGTTGGGGTTGACGCGACAATACATGTGGGATAAAGGCCATTACTCCACATGTTGGGGTTGACGGGACACTGAATACATGTGGGATAAAGGCCATTACTCCACATGTTGGGGTTGACGCGACAATACATGTGCGTAAAGGCCATTACTCCACATGTTGGGGTTGGGGATAAAGGCCATTACTCCACATGTTGGGGTTGACGCGACAATACAAGTGGATAAAGGCCATTACTCCACATGTTGGGGTTGACACGGTAATACATGTGGGATAAAGGCCATTACTCCACATGCCGGGATTGACGGGACAATACATGTGCGTAAAGGCCATTACTCCACATGTTGGGGTTGGGGATAAAGGCCATTACTCCACATGTTGGGGTTGACGCGACAATACACGTGGATAAAGGCCATTACTCCACATGTTGGGGTTGACACGATAATACACGTGGATAAAGGCCATTACTCCACATGTTGCAGTTGACACGACAATACACTTGGGTATAAAGGCCATTACTCCACATGTTGGGGTTGACACGATAATACACGTGGATAAAGGCCATTACTCCACATGTTGCAGTTGACGCGACAATACACATGGGTTAAAGGCCATTACTCCAAATGTTGGGGTTGACGCGAGAATACATGTGGGATAAAGGCCATTACTCCACATGTTGGGGTTGATGGGACACTGAATACATGTGGGATAAAGGCCATTACTCCACATGTTGGGCTTGACGCGACAATACATATGGGATAAAGGCCATTACTCCACATGTTGGGGTTGACGCGACAATACATATGGGATAAAGGCCATTACTCCACATGTTGGGGTTGACGCCACAATACATGTGGATAAAGGCCATTACTCCACATGTTGGTGTTGTCTTTTTTACGTATTGTTTCAAATATTGATACGTGCACTGGTTGCGCAACATCAACATCTTTGTCAACACATTAACTGTAAAATGGGCCAGTGGCCTGATTTACCGGAAATAAACTACCGCTAATAATAATAGCGCTGTCGTGTTTACACAGGTGATAAGAAAACAGCCCCCAGTTATATCGATATGCTAGTCAAGGATGCAAGGTGACAGACAATAAGGGTGGGTATAGATTTTGAGAAGGGGTGGGAGGCACAGTTCATTTTCACCTCGTTTTGAGAGTTTCAATGGTCATTTAATAAACTTTCAGGACATACCTTCCCCTGGATCCGCCCATAAACAAGGAAAATTCGTGGAGGGCCACAACCCGATCACTTCCTGGTTCAGGAGCATAGTACGCGTGAACCCCTTTGTCATGACAGGTGTGTCACGTGAAAATGGTTACGCTTTATCAAATCAGCACATCTGATCTAAAGTGTCGGTATTTCGCAACAGCATGTCACGATGTAGACATATCCAATTTCCTCTGAACACGTGGATTTAATACCTTGCCAATATCATAGAACGGTATCAATTGTGTAGACCTCCACAGGTATGTGAGAATATCTTCATAAACTATAAGGAAACAATCGTTGTTGTAAGCTGAGTAGAGGTGAATGTGAACTTTATAGTAAGTTAATATGTTGCTAAACGTTATCTAGGGTTCCTAATAAATACAACTGTATGTCATCAACCCTCCAGTTTAGCTAATAACGAGTATGTGGTTGATAGAACGTTCAGTGAAATACCTTTGAGACATCCAGCTGCTCAAACTCCATCACATCAGGTAGTTCAACACATTTCTTTCTTTCTTCCAATTTTAATATTGCCTGGTATTTGATTCTACAGTGAGGCTTGTTATTACATATTATATTTTATTTATATATAAGGTCAGTGGGGTTGTTCAATAGATGCCCAACTTAGGTGGTCTCCCCCAAATACATAATGGACAGACATTTACCATTGTTGCTTTAAGATTGTCGGAAATGACTTTACACATAAAAAATCATCATATGAAAACCGAAACACGAGTTGAAAAAAGAACATAAATATACGTACAATACATATATATATGAAGTCATTATTATTTATATTATCCACATCAATACACACAGGAACTCAATGCATAAGTAAACATGTATACCTGCATTTTACAAGAACACTTAAATGCTCTCTATAAATACATATTAAATAGAGAGAGATAGAGAGTGAGGGGGGCAGCCAGTGTTGATGGACATGATGTTTCTGGGAAGAGCGTATTTGGGGCCTTCTCAAGAATGTAGTGCATATTGTTTTCACATGGAATTCAAACAACAGAAGGGGACAAAGTATCAGATGGTTTTCTTGGATAAGATCTACAAGATTGTCCCAGGCGGTAAGTAAACTGCTTCATTGTTGGTTAAGAACTAATAGTTCTTTGGATCATCAGTTTTAAAAAGTGAACTAAGGTGCTGTACTTGTCCAGTTGGGGTTATCAAATCTCTAAAGTTTGATAAAAAGAAGGAATGAATGAGTGTTTTCGGCGTGTAGCCTTCGCGCATGCTGTATATATATACATATATATTGCTCTGATTTCCTGTAAATCATATCTATTAGTTGTTGACACCTTAGGTGGCATGTCATATAAATAATATGCACATATATTATACATGATACTGGTATATATTTACAATGTTTTTAGATTTACATCTGTTCGAAAGAGATTCCACCCTGTCTCAAAATATGAACTCGACCTTGGGTAATATGTTGGAAGATCTCTTACTATCAGAGTTGCTTCTGCTTGTATCATTTCACGTTTTTCGCAGTTTCTTCTTTGACTACGGTTATTCCATTTATACAC